GGATAATTCCGTACGGAATTTGTCCGTTTCCTCTGTATTTTGGAACAAATGACAACGAGGACTTGCATTGCCACCCACCGAAAATAAACACAATACGAATACTTAAAAACACTAAAAATTTGGATTTAGCTTTTTTATTTAAAAATTAATTTCACAGACACCCTGCTTCAGATCAGAGTGGAAGATGCATCCAGCTGTGGTTCTTTGAGAGTAAATGCTGTGCAGCATGAGTTTAATCCAAACAGGTAAATTCCTCTTATGACAAGAACAGGAGTGCTGTGATGTATCTGGTATTAGGAAAATGAGTTGTTTTGTGATCCATAGAGTGTCCTATAATCCTGAGAAATCCCAGAATCAATGCACTCACACTGAATCACTCTGGCGCTACAGCCCCATTGTTTGCCTAAACGTTTAGTTGTTCTAAACAGAAACTGTAATTAGAATGGTAGTCAACCTGACAAAGAATGTTTTGTTCTCATTAATATTATTATTAGTATCATGCTTATTAAACTCCAGCATTTTTCCCAGTGCTGCAAAATTAGTACTTTAACAAAAGGGTATGAATTGACGACAGTACAGTACATAATTGGACGAACTGGTACTTAAGGAATTGGGGTTCCTAACTGTGAGCCTAGTATTAGCATTGGTGAATGCAGAGCAAGGTGGCCTGTGAGTTTACAATCTAATTAAGAGATTATAAGCAGTAAAACAAATGTATACAGTATATGCATCCAGACCCTGACAAACAAATTATCACAAGCGCAAAACTATTTTAATTGTCATTAGGGTAATTGAATGAGCTCTGCTGTGATAAGTGAAGATTTTGTTCAAAGGGGACATGTCAAGCCCCAAACGGCTTATGCTCGTTTGAAAGAGCATACTATGCTAGCAGATTTGCTAGCAAATGTATACACTGTATACACTGGGAGAAAATCTGTTTAAAAATCAATCTTTCTCTCACTTCTAAGTCAAATAATTGGCATAGACTCTACGCCAAAGATTTGACTGACGAAGGAAAGCAGAAAAGACATCCCACAAGTGGTCCTTCTGCTCTCCCAAGCTTAGCAACCACAGCGCATGTACAATGGTTGTTATGAAAACTACCTAGCCGATGCTGGTATGGCTGGCTAGGTAGTACAGGAGCGGTATGCTGGCAACAAAGTGTGTCGGCAAACTAAAGGCAGTTTTCCCTATTTCGGGAAGCATCCCCATCAGGGTAAATCACACAAGACTCAAGGCTGAACAGAGGACGGACTGGAGGTGGGCTACACGAAGCTCTGAAGATGGCAACGCAGGAATGTTGGGAAGTGCATATATCTTGATATTTTACACTTAAAGGACCACTCTAGGCACCCAGACCACTTCAGCTTAATGAAGTGGTCTGGGTGCCAGGTCCTTCTAGGGTTAACCCATTTTTTCATAATTATAGCAGTTTCAGAGAAACTGCTATAATTATGAATGGGTTAAGCCTTCCCCCTAATCCTCTAGTGGCTGTCTCATTGACAGCCACTAGAGGCGCTTGCGTGCTTCTCACTGTGATTTTCACAGTGAGAGCACGCTAGCGTCCATAGGAAAGCATTATGAATGCTTTCCTATGTGACCGGCTGAATGCGCGCGCAGCTCTTGCCGCGCGTGCGCATTCAGCCGACGGGGAGGAGAGAAGGAGGATCGGAGGAGGAGAGCTCCCCGCCCAGCGCTGGAAAAAGGTAAGTTTTTACCCCTTTCCCCTTCCAGAGCCGGGCGGGAGGGGGTCCCTGAGGGTGGGGGCACCCTCAGGGCACTATAGTGCCAGGAAAACGAGTATGTTTTCCTGGCACTATAGTGGTCCTTTAATACATCATGTATCTTTGTGATATAATGTATATAAGTAAGTTTATTTTTTCTTAACAAGTTCATTTTAAGTCAATTTATTTTGCTTCCCATGTTGAATTGTAGCTGTTAAAGCCCCCCAGGCTGTCTGTAAACGTCTAGGGTGCTGAAGGTTGCTTACCCCTGTTCTAGAGTAATGTAGGGCAGTCACCCTGGAAAATCATTGGGATGTTCATGCTGATTGGTCCACTTTTAGCACTAATATGCTGTGATGCAAATCATGTGTAAAATGTTTAAAAACAACCAAAACATTATCTTATAATATAAATACTATGCAAACTCAAAATGCTTACTGCTAGAGTACTCTGTGGTATTTAATACTCTCAGCAGAATGAGTTCTTGGTGGGCTAACCAGATATGCTCCGGATAGCTAATGAAGCAGGTACCCTTACAGTAACTATCCATGTGTATGTTGATACAATATAGTCACCAGAACTTTGAGTCCCGTATTGTATGAGCCCTTTACTTTTATCGTTTTATAAAGGTTCGACTAATGAACTGAAACTATCCATGAAACATCCACGTGAAGACATTTTAAACATTTAAAAGAAAACATTGTTTGCGGATTCACTTTGTGGTAAATCCTCTTATAAGTCAAACAATGGATGTGCTGTATGTGTGGACACGCAGGTTGCTGTGTTTGTAAACTCTCGAAACATATAAGATGGTGTTGTTAGGGTGTTCATTGGATGGGTGATTAACTTCAACGCTTTTGTGATGGGCGCAGACCCCCCAACTAAACCGCGAGGTACATTAATTATTTGTGAAAGTAAGCTGCTGTACTCGCTTGCTTCCTCCCTGGGTATGCTTCACAAACTCAGAATGAGGTCACACTTTTTTTGAGTCTCTTCCCATTAAGGCTGATCTACTCAAGGATACGCGCTATAAACGACTTATACACTGCACCACATCAGTGCTTTTGCCATTGAAAAGTTGACTCTTGAAGCACACTCTGCTCTTGGTTTCATACCACGCCACAGCACTGACACTCTGGTAGAATTTGAAAGGATCATTTGCACTCCACAAAATAGAGCTTGGATTGTCACAGACAACTCTGCCTACAGATTTTATACATTATTATTTATGGTACAGTTTTGAGACTTGTGGCTCTCATCATTTAGTTGCGTCCTATTCACATAATTTTTCATGTTAAAGGCTCTCCTGTAGAGAGCTTATGCCCGTCTCTCTAATCTGACTCTAGGTTTGGGGACCTTTGTTTTGCAGTCAGATATTAAATTTTTTTAGATCCTCTGCCTGCTCCCAGATGTTGCTATTTTAGAACAGCAGGATCTTCAAGCCCTCCTCCAAATGAAAATAGCCACTTTTTAAAATCTACAAATGGACACCCGCATAGCGATAATACTTCATCGTGTTACTATGGCAAACGTGCCTATGCCACGAACTCCCGTAGGAGCCTGCTAACTAGCCTCCTGCTCAAGGACTATGGGCCACACACAAAGACCCTGTACGGGAGTTAACCCTGCCCAGCCGCCATTAGCAGCTTTCCCTGTGGGCCCCAGGTTCGGCACTTTCCCTTCATTCGAATGGAACTGATCACTAGCTCCCTGGCAGCTGTTCGCATGAAGAAAACCACAAATTGTCCTCAGTGGGCCTTAGCCGCGAACGTTATGGAACGGTTTTCCGCATTAAGTGACCGTGCGGTTCCCGGACCGGGGTTTTGAAAGACTTTGCAACCTGCCAGGAGAGCACATATTGGAGGGAAGGTGTCTGAGACTAAGGGGCACAAATGCTACCTAAGAGCCAGGCAGAGCAACTCATATTTTGGATGCAGGAGCTCCTGAAAGGTGACTGGCCAAAGCACCAAACGCCCTGGAACTATTTTGGGCATAGGACCAAGTGTGTGGCCGATCAGAATTTTAACATGGTGCAGTTTCCCCTACACTGCATGGATCTGAGCGCTATTTGGAGAACATGGGCACTCAGATCAAAGTTATTTGTAGGTGTATTTTTTTTGTGGGGTTATAATATATTTTTATGATGTTTTGGGGTATTTTTGTTTTATATTTTTGTGTTTGCCTCTCCTGTGAGATAATTAGCATACCGGTCTTTAACTCAATTATCTCCCAGGCACAGAGATCTTTGGGAGGGGCTTGTCTTGTATTAAATGGAGACCCCAGGCTGGGGGTTGTGTATAAAAGCAGGCAACTTGGCCATAATAACCGGTTCCTTCACACCCTTCACTCAGTCTGGGCTAGTTTTTGGGTGGATCAGCTATACCCTCTGCAGGAGAGCTTAATCACTTACAGCTGTACCCAGGACCCTCTTCCAGGGCGGGAAGCGACGGAAAGACCCCAGCCGTGGCGGCTAGGGCTGAAGCACTCCTGTATCCTAGAGGAGAGCTAGGAAGCGTGCTTGACGGAGGTACCCAGTCGGGGTACTAGGCGGTCCGTCACAGTTACCTTATCCACTTCCAGGTATAGTAAATGTATTCCTATCCGCTGATTTGATGCAACCACTCGTTTGATACCCTGAATTGGAAACAAACGTCATCCCCAGATACAGTGAATGGTTTGCCAAGCTTGATTACGTCCCTATTATTGCCAGGTATCAGAAATATAATCACTCTTGGTTTTACAATCATAATAACCAGTCCCACTCCTTGTCATCTGATACCTGCTTTGGCGCTCTCCCTTGTTCTCAACCTTTAACGTGACTCTTAGCACAAAACCCTTAACTTATATGATTTACCTTTTCTGAAATGACATTCTGCTTGGTAAATTTACTCTTATTATACCATGGCTTTTTTAAATGCACTTTCTTATCTTCTGTGCACGTTTCCCATCCTGCCTCATTCTTCCCTGAGGCACCCATCTACACATCATTGTTAGAAACATATTAAAAAATCAACTGTTAACTTTTTATCATTGAATCACTGAATTCCTCTTAGTTTTTTGAAAAACAAAAAAATGTACACAAAAAAAGCTTAAAAGTTCAGACAGGTACCAGAAGTTACGAATAGAATATCCTTACCTTAGTATTGCGTTTGTGGTTTTTTTTCTTTTTCTTGTTTGTTTGATTTTTATGGGATGTATAGTTAAAATGGGAATTGTGGAACATTTACAAAATAATAGTAAATAATAGACTAAATGGTTAAGTTGGACTCTTTTTTTTTTTTTTTGTATGTATTTTTTTTATGTATTTAACTTGCTTATTATGGCTTGCAATATTTAAAATCCTTGGTTCCAGTTTCTTATGAAATAAATGCTGTCATAAGCATATGATGGCAAGAGCCAGTTAGATGATGGGATTTCAAGAGTTGAGCTGATGAGCTTCCAATGTGTCGCCTTTGCTGGATAGAGACATTTTGAACTGCCTGATGATACCAAGTACCATTAATGTGTAACATTAATCAGATTATCTAAAAAGAAATAGATACAAATTAAATTAAAGCAAGGAATATTAAAACGGCTGAGCAGATTAACGATGTAAAGAGTCATCTGATGACAGTCACTTTAACAAATCATTGGCTTCACAATTTATTCTAAGACCGCACATTTGGAGGGTTCCAGCAGATCTTGAGATGAAGTTTTTATTGTTATGCTGTTAAAACAAAAGTTTATACCTACAGATTAAATGTGTCATGCAGCAAGAGGAAGTCAATATTGACAAAGAAATGATGCTAGACCATTTTTGGAAGCTGGTGTGTGTGTCTTTCGTTACGATTTGAAGAGATGCTTTTGTTAGGGTTCTGTTTTCCTCTTACCGTCATTAAAAGACAATTAAAGGTGTGTCCTAACTCTTTCCTGATTAGGCGAGGAGATGAGTAGACAGCAAAGAAGAGGACAGAATGTTCTACAAACTGTCAGTTTAAAGAGTCCTACTTGCCAGGCCTCACTAAGAAGTGAAGCATTTTTTTTTCCTCAAGCTGTTGGCTTAAGTGTTGCATACTGTGCCAAATTGCTAAGCGTCTCTCTGTAAATATGACCCGAAATTTGCAAACATGTGGCTTTCCAGCAAAAATCCATGAAAATGTGGACAGTCAAGTGCTTGTTTGTATGTGTGCTGCAGAAAGTATAATGTTAAATAATACTACAAAGCTGCTTCTTAAAGGGACACTATGGTTACCATAACAACTTTATCTAAAATTAAATTGTTATGGTGCCAGTAGGTTGCCTGGCACACACTTACCTCAAGGAGTTAAACCATTCTTCAACAGTTTAACCACAAAGTTTGCCTCCAGCGCTGATATGCAGATCCCCAAGGCGGTATCGGGCTTCTTAATCTCCGTTACAGGAAGCGCTGTGTGATGCTGGGCACTGGCACCACTAATTGGCTTACAGAAGTCAGCTGATGTTCTAAGCCAATCAGTAGCTCCCCATTGATTTAAAAAAAAAAAAAAGGTGCTGTGCAACTAAGATTCAGAGTTTGGATGTCGCCTGGGAGACCTGCAGATCGGCACTGGAGACAAACATTGGTGTTAAATTTACGAGCACATTTAGATTAAGTTGTTATGGTGACAGGGGTGTTTTTTTTCTGGAGATATTGATGGGAAACATAATTTCCTGGATTTAATACATTTAATTAGTTAAATATACTATATACGAATATTGTTAAAGCAGCTGCGTCTCCGTCTGGGGTCCTCTTTTGTCATATTTTGTCGATTGCAGTGTAGTGGCCTGGGGGTGCAGGAGAAGGTACGGTTTTAGTTCCAAATGGCCGCTGCCATGTCCATCCAGTGGGTCTCTTTTAGTGCCAGGCACTTCATCTACCATGAGCCGACCATTGTGCTGTACTCTTGCGCATTCATAAGAGTAAAGCACTGATGTCTACGGAGCACCCTGCAGTATCATAGGAGCCTCCTTAGAAAGTGTTTTTCTCCCACACACACAGCTGTCACTAGTGACAACTGAGAGTAATGACAATACCTGACCGTGGTTGCTCCGTCTTTTGTCACGTTTTGTCAGCCATAGGAAAGATTCATAAAGATAAAGTTATCCCTTCTTTGTCTCAGTATATCTTTTGACTGCGTTGGAATTTCAGTAATATTCGGAAGGCCCGTAACAGAGTTGTGTTTTTATTTTTATTTATTTTTTTACATGATTTAGAAGATACACTATAGAACAATGGTGTGAGATTAATGTCCGTGTCTGCATTTGTTAGTTGACATACTATTTTCTAACTAGGAGTCCCTGTGCTTCTCCATGCCCCGGACCTCAGGTGTTATTATAACTAAGTGAATTAAAATGCCCATAATATGATGTTATTTAAGCTACCTATTGGTCAAGACAGTGGGATGTTGGCAATTATTGGTAAAAATGTGTTCCTCTATCTCTTATTTCATAAGTAAAACAAGTTGCCAATGTCAAATCTGCAAGTAGAGTGCCAAACACATTAAAGGGAATGTGTCCTTTTAGTTTTAGCATTTCAGAATTCTTTATCTTAAAGCAGTAGTGTGCCATTTCATTAAAGGAACACTATAGGGTCAGGAACACAAACATGTATTCCTGACCCTGTAGTGATAAAACCACCATCTAGGTGGCTTGCCCTCCCTTTAGCCCCCTTAAAAGGTAATACAACTTCCCTTATTTCCAGTGCTGCACTGGCTGCTGGCGCTGGCCATGCCCCCGATCTGCCTCCTTGCTGACATAATCAGAATTTATGATTGCAGCCAATCCAATGCTTTCCCATAGGGATAGGGACAAATGTCGGGTTGGCCAATCAGCACCTCCTCATAGAGATGCATTGAATCAATGCATCTCTATGAGGAAAGTTTAGCCTAGAGATGATGAACAGCAGTGCTGCACTGTGTGCAGCACTGCCCAGGAAGCAGCTCCTGTGGCCATCCGAGGAGGTGTCCCTATGGGGCAATGTAAACACTGCATTTTCTCTGAAAAGTCGGTGTTTATAGCAAAAAGCCTGTAGGGAGTGATTATACTCGCCAGAACAAATACATTAAGCTGTAGCTATTCTGATGACTATAGTGTCTCTTTAAATATTATTATATTATAAAATATATTGCTAAGGCAAAGTAGATACACGTTTAAATTATGGCTTTTCTGGACTCTCTGCTAATTAGCTGTTTGAGGGTAAGTTCAATTCACAATGGGCAACATGCCTGTTGGATAACCCCAACCATAAACCAAGCTGAAACACAGCTGGGGCAGCTACCTAACATGCAACTGGGAAGTGAAGCCCACATTTTTAAATATTGCATAAATTAATATAAAATAACTTGAGAACACTTTTTTGGGGAAAAACACTGCAACCTTAATGCTGATATTGACATATGCTGTGTTATGGTATAAACAAAAACACAACTGATTCAAATCAAGTTCATTTATCATTATTCTGTCTTCCTCAGTTTGTGTTTGAATAATGGAGTTTGACTGGATCTGATTAAAAACCGGGGTGCGGTTTCCAGACATACATTAGTAACCAGGTAATTGTTTCATCCTTAGACTAGAAGTTCCCATATTCACAAGCACGCTTCCTATCAGTCCACGCCCTTAATAATTATCATTGTACAGTCAGGAAAAAAAGTATTTGATCCCCTGCTGATTTTGAACATTTGCCCACTGACAATGAAATTATCAGTCTATCATTTTAATGGTAAGTGTATTTTAACAGTGAGAGACAGAATAAACAAAAAAAAATACAAAAAAAGTGCATGTCAAAAAAATGTCAATGAGCGAAATAAGTATTTGATCCCCTATCAATCAGCAAGATTTCTGGCTCTAAGGTGTCTTTTATACAGGTAACGAGCTGAAATTAGGAGCGCTCTTTAAAAGGGAGTAATCCTAATCTCAGCTCGTTACCTGTATAAAAGACACCTATCCACAGAAGCAATTAATCAGATTCCAAACTCTCTGCCATGGCCAAGACTAAAGAGCTGTCCAAGGATGTCAGGGACAAGATTTTAAACTTACACAAGGCTGGAATAGGTTACAAGACCATTGCCAAGCAGCTTGGTGAGAAGGTGACAACATTTGATACGATTATTCGCAAATGGAAGAACCACAAAATAACTGTCAGTCTCCCTCGGTTTGGTGCTCCATGCAAGATCTTACCTCGTGAAGTTTCCATGATCATGAGAATGGTGAGGAATCAGCCCAGAACTACACGGGATGATCTTGTTAATGATCTCAAGGCAGCTGTGACCATAGCCACCAAGAAAACAATTGGTAACACACTATGCCGTGTAGGACTGAAATCCTGCAGCACCCACAAAGTCCCCCTGCTGAAGAAAGCACATGAATAGGCTCATCTGAAGTTTGCCAATGAACATCTGAATGATTCAGAGAAGAAATTGGTGAAAGTGTTGTGGTCAGATGAGACCAAAATCGAGCTCTTTGGCATGACTTCAATTCCCTGTTTTTGGAGGAGAAGGAATGTTGCATATGACCCCAAGAACACAACATCAAACATGGAGGTGGAAACATTATGCTTTGGGGGTGTTTTTCTGCTAAGGTACAGGACAACTGCACCGCATCAAAGAGCCAATGGACATAGCCATGTACTGTCAAATCTTGGGTGCGAAACTCCTTCCCTCAGCCAGGGCATTAAAAATGTGTCGTGTATGGATATTCCAGCATGACAATGACCCAAAACACACAGCCAAGGCAACAAAGGAGTGGCTCAAGAAGAAGCACATTAAGGTCCTGGAGTGGCCTAGCCAGTCTCCAGACCTTAATCACGTAGAAAATCTGTAGAGGGAGCTGAAGGTACGAGTTGCCAAACGTCAGCCTTGAAACCTTAATGACTCGGAGAGGATCTGCAAAGAGTAGGGAAAAATCCCTCTTGAGATGTGTGCAAACCTGGTGGCCAACTACAAGAAACGTCTGACCTCTGTGATTGCCAACAAGGGTTTTGCCAATTAGTACTAAGTCGAAGGGGTCAAATACATATTTCACTCATTGATATGCAAATCAATTTATAACTTTTTTGACATGCGTTTTTCTGGATAATTTTTTTTGTTATTCTGTCTCTCACTGTTAAAATACACCTACCATTAAAATTATAGACTGATCATTTCTTTGTCAGTGGGCAAATGTTCCAAATCAGCAGGGGATCAAATACTTTTTTTCCCTCACTGTATGTCTTTACTTATATTTCACATGGAGCATCAGTGATTGTTCAACTTCATTCCATTTGTTTAAATCAAAGAATTCTGTACAGCTTCCATCCAATCCAAAAAGTGCACGTCCTCTTCGATTAATTCAATAGTGTTTAAGCCTTGTGAATAATATCAGGATTAAAAGATGGTCTAAAGTTATTTCCAGGTCCAACACTTGACCATGTCCACTTTATTTTATTTGTGCTCGGAATCTCTATTATGTTAATGGAATGTAGAGGAGGAGCAAAGTTAGTTGAGGTGTG